GTGTATTAAAAAAAAATATATATAATTCCATTTAAAAAATCAAAGTTGACCTTCATATGTCCTTGACGCGTCCACCCATAAAAAAAAATCAATAACATCAGAATATGCAGCCCTCGAAATCATTCAACTTCCGTCCAAACATTTCTCGCTGCGAATAATAATAATGACAAAAATCAAAGTGGTAATTTCAGGTTGGACACCCTGTATATGTAGTTGGCTAATGGGGCACGTATCATGGATGATCCCTTGGATAAAGGTGGTGATATGGTGAAGTCCTTAAGTCTAGAAATAAGACAGCATACGTAATAGTTGCTCTTTGGTTCGAACACGTGAAACACTAATTATACACACAGACCGTCCGTGCGGCAAATAGAGAGAGCGATTTTATCCGATTCAATGAAAACTGGTCCCGTCAGGCATTATAATTAATGGTCGATGAGTTATTGTTGGATTTCCGAGAATTATTGACGGATCGGTTGTCGTTTAAGCTACACTGACCACGGAATGTCGATATGCAAGAAAGTTTATTCGAGAAAAAGTGCATGGTACGCGTCAAAGTGAAGGATAGTGTTGATAGTTTGGCATTCAGGGGTTGGCACTCTGGCTACGACCGGGTGACGCGCGAAATTAAATCGCAAAACGGCACTTGGTTGAAAATAAGGGTAGTTTACCACCTTGGTGCGCTTACTAAGGCAGTAGTTAGTCTTCCCATCAAATCAGCTTCTAATTAAGGAAGCCCTCCCCTGGTCAACAACTCTGGACGCATTCAGCTTATACAGGATGTTTCTGAACTATACATAGAAACTAGAAATGACACATTCTCTTTTATCAACCTATATTCGTCAAGATTATTTCGTTTCTTTTCGTGACTTCTATTAGATTACACTTGAGAAACATCCTGTATACTTCGAAAGTGATTTCTCCACGGACTTTCATTATTAGCACTTCGCTGCGAGTAAAGAGAGAGAGGTTATATCGCGCGTAAAATCGTCGAGTGTAATTGGAACGGTCTTATGAAACGAAAAGTTGGCTATAGGTTGACTATAGGTTAAGTTTGTCGATCATTCTTGTAAAACTTTTAAAACGTTATTTATAACGTTTGGAAATAAAATTACGACAACCTCAAGCAAACTGCTCCCCTGAATGGTGTTGAAAAAGTTGGTTAGACGCGCGTGTACTCTCACGCACGTTTGAAAGTTCGATAATAAGAGGTTCTCTATTTTCTGTCCGTTCAAGAGTGTAAACAATGAACGGCGATCTGCGTGAAAATAGGAAAATAGTTGGAACTGGACGGTAAAAGGATTCCGTTTCTTTGATAACTCCACATTTGCCGCTGTTTGCGTCTGTATCGACTCTCTGGCACTTCTGCTCGGTCAACAATATTGACACACGTATATACATACGTACCCCTCGAAATATAGAACAGACAGAAAGTATGTTTCCTCCCACGGCCAAGGAAACAGCCCCTGACCGCTCGAAACAATTCCTTTTAGTTAAAACAATGCTCTTTAGACAAGAGAGATTATTGAAGGAGAGGAAAAAAGGTATGTCGAATGTTAATGCTCGATAACAGTCTCTTCTCTGACCTATATCGATATATTACGTTATGTGATAATGTACCCTTAATAATGAAATTGAAAGTATTAATTAAACAAAGAAAAAAAGATGGATTTTGTACGATGCATTTGTTCCCTCATTTTAATGTGCGACTGATATCTCGAACGATAATAGTTGCGATTCGAAAGTAGAATTCGAGAAAAATTGTAAAATCGATATTTTCGGTTAACTTATCTCGCCATTTTGACATGTCATTAATCGATAGTATAAAATTTTTTAATTCCAATTGTCAGTTTGCCCTTTATGATTAATTAATCATATGAATGTATATTATTAATTAATCATATTAATTGATCATTTACGCGAGCACCGTTGGAAAATGCGATCATCTTGGTTAGATCACCGTTGAATTCTCGTTCTTGTGTGATGATGCCTGTCACCGGCAGTTGTAATAGGAATTTAAGACTGGTGGAACTGGTTGTTTATCGGGAGTCGGCTTTTGTAATAGGATGAAAATAGAGTTGTGAGTAAAAATTACGTAAACGCGATGAATGAATCAGGTTTTCACTTTCCAAGTGAAAATGTGCGACCGGGGAGAGCGTGCTCAGTTGATCGCGAGACTTGACCGAGCGATGTATCGACTCCTCTAAATTCCGCGATATCGTAAATTGCATATTGCGAAACAGTGCGTGTGTATTCTCTGCTACTGAACGCGTTTATGACGTGGATTCTTTTCTTCACAAAAATTAATTACGTTGCTTACGAAAGTAATTTTCAATAGAAACATTTTATTCGTTCAAAAATATAATATTCAGTCATTTACAGGATTATTTGTTCAAAATAATTGTTTTTCATTTCGTATTCTAAATTTTTTTAAACAAAATCTATTTCGAAACAATTATTTGCTTAAAAATTCCTATTGAATCGGACCAAATGGTAGGTTATAATTTATCTGAACGTTAACATTCCGTTCCATCTCGTATAGAAGCAAAGCGGAAACGGAGGAAAACATCGAAAACTCGGCGCAGTACGCGTGCGAGCAGCTAGAGGGCAACACGAATCGATTACCACTCCGCTAATGGCTTATTTCACTTAACACGCCTTTCCGTGTGGCAAGCTGGTATGCTGTGTATCGTGATTAGCTTTTCACGGCTAGAGATCGACAGGGAAGAATGAAGCTCCGCGGCCCGTGACCAGTGAGGGGTGATCGGTTTGCATGCCAATTCGCGATCTGTTCTTGGCGTCAAGACATAAACTGTCACCAGAAGGTAAACGGGTGTTCTCTGTGTGTCTCTCTATCTATCGCTCACTTTACCTTGTTGGTTTCTGTCTCCTTTCTGCGACCCGTGTTATTTTTAGATGTCTATCGCCGATGTTCTTCAATCTGTCCCGTGTCACTGTGTTCCTCGTGGTGACATCATTTCGGAAGAGAATGTCTAGTTCTTTTATTGCTGTCAATCGTGTCTCGCAATAATGATTCATTCGTCTGGGTATATAACCTTAAAGCGTGTCGGCACTCGATGACAACCGTGACCACTCGTGGATGTCTTTTCGTTCACTAAAGATGTTTAATGTCACTAAAATCATTTTGGTACGTTTTGTGGATTTTTTTGTGATGGTTTAGTGTATCGCCGCTGATGAGTCGATAGTGTTCGGGTTCAATGACTCGGGCTTCCTGTTGTCTCCCCGGAAATGTCTAACTACTATTTATGGTTTTCAAGAGAAATTGGAAGAATTATGTTTCTTTATGACTGTGTAATTTTTTTAAATTTAATTATTCATTGTAACAATCCTTGAAGGTCCCATACATTTTAACATTATATATTGTAAGCTTCAAATTATGTACTGATCCAGCTCTAAGAATTTAATTTTTATGCAATATGTAATACAGTGATCACTGTCATTTGAAATGGAACTTTACAGTGGAATGTCATGGATTATTGACTATAAGAATGCTTATGTTAGTTCTTGTTATCATTTTTGAGTAGTAGAAATGCTTCTGGTTATAATTATGACATAATGACACATTGGTTTAGATAACTACAATTCACACAGCATCACTATCATGTGTAAATTACTTATTCTCTAATTAATATTTATAACAGAGCAATATAATCCATGTATAATTTATTCCATGAATGGTAACTTAGACGTAAGAAATTTATTGATGCTAAGTGAAGATTTGAAACTGTTTGCTTGTTTGTTTCAGCTGTTGGTCCTCCAATTTCTTGGGGGCCAGTGGTGTCAGTGACACCAGAGAATAATACGAGCTGCTAGCGTGAAGAAGTGCAGTGAAGTTGGCTTAGGCCAACGTTGGTGGACGAGGCAAAATGGCAACAATAGATGGCCGACCAGCCCAATATGGTGTCACTCTTAAGCAACTTCGTGAACTCATGCAGGTCCGAGGGCGTGAAGGAGTTGAACAAATCAATAGCCATGGTGGTGTGCAAGAGATTTGTAAAAAATTATATACTTCACCCAGCGAAGGTAAGTGATATTGATTCTTCGTTTTGATAAATCAAAGAAGTGGGTCAATATATATATAGAGTGAATAATTTTGTTGTACAGGTCTCAGTGGATCAGCAGCAGATATCCAACATAGAAGGGATACATTTGGTTCCAATTCAATACCTCCAAAACCACCAAAAACGTTTCTACAGTTAGTATGGGAGGCTCTGCAAGATGTTACGTTAATAATCTTGGAAGTAGCAGCATTGGTTTCATTAGGTCTTAGCTTTTATCAACCAGCAGATGATGAAGAAAAACGTAAGTGTGAATACTGATATCTTTGCTGATATTTCTCAATCAGTGGATACAGAAAGTGGAGTGGTATATACTTAGAGTTTGTAATCTTATAATATGCAAGACTTGATAATATCTGTAGCAGAGATATATCATGTCATAACACTTAGTTACATAATGATTTGATAAATGAATCAACTGTACATATAGGTTATTGTAAAATGTTTTTTCCATGGATGTTTCAGCTTTGATAGACGAGGATGAAGCGAAATACGGTTGGATCGAAGGAGCTGCTATATTTATTTCTGTGATCTTGGTGGTAATAGTAACAGCTTCCAATGACTATTCTAAGGAAAAACAATTTAGGGGTCTCCAGAGTCGGATAGAAGGAGAACATAAATTCTCCGTCATTCGGCAAGGGGAGGTCAAACAGATCTCTGTATCTGACATCGTTGTGGGTGACATATGTCAGGTGTGTAAGAATTTGAAATATTTTTCAAGAAAACTATCGTTGATATCTTTAAAATTTGTCAGTATGTTCAATTTGAGAATCTACAATACAGATAAAATATGGAGACCTGCTGCCAGCAGATGGTATCCTTATACAAAGCAACGATCTCAAAGTGGATGAATCCAGTTTAACAGGAGAGTCAGATCATGTTAAAAAAGGAGAATCGTTTGATCCCTTTGTACTCTCAGGTGAGAATTCTCTTTCACAGATTCAGTGTTTGTAATTCACATTTTCTGCATTATATTGTTACAATGCTATATTTCTGCCAAAGGTACACATGTGATGGAGGGTTCTGGGAAAATGTTAGTTACTGCAGTAGGTGTTAACTCACAGGCTGGTATTATCTTTACTTTGTTGGGTGCTGCTGTTGATCAACAAGAGCAAGAGATCAAGAAAATGAAGAAAGGTACGTACACGAGGTTTCAACGGAGAGAAATCAATGTCAGGTGTCCTGATTGGTGATTTAGAACAGTTTGGGATGATGATAGAAGTAGTGTAGTTTTAAAAAATGACCGTTTTGAGAACAAGACTTAGGATGGAATTTCATTGCATCAGCATTGAAGAAAGGAAATGGTAAAATCCGATTAAAATGTATAACTTCCGAAGTTGTTTTCAAAATGGTGTAATTTACTACAAATTTTTGCTCACTATAGTATTTTACAATAAGTAATCCAAACTCGCTACTTCTCCCATATAGAAAATGCTAGAGATTCTTGAACTATTAAATTGTGGAGAAATTAAATTGCTATGTATTAAGAAAGAGTAGTAGCGGGTACTACGAAACGCATGGCGCAAGACATGAATTTAAAAGTAGACATACAAGAATCAACGCATGGTGTTTATTTTGAATTGATGTGAGAATATTTTACTGTCAAGTTTAGTTCTTAGTTATTTGTTATGATCCCCCTTTTTTCCCATAGTATGTGTTTGTAATACTTTTCGACGATTCCCCGATCATTTACTAATTATCATTTTTTCAATCGAAAGAAAAAAAAAATTATTCATAGTTACAAAGAAAAAGTTCTCTGAAGGAATTAAGTAGTAGGTGAATTCATCAAAATATAAAAGTTTCACAGTTTTTAGAATTCCTGTGCAAAGGAACAGTTAAGTATTTAATATTATCGCACGTTAATTAGCATATTCACATCATGCGCCTTTTTTGAGATATTTATACCAGTCTGCATTTTGGTTGTAAGTGTTCGTACCTCTGTCTTTTATGTGTTCATGTATACAAACTCTTTTTATTGAATGACTTACGAATATCTTTTAGTGTTACCATTGCAATCAAGGTCAATTTTTGCTATGAAAAAAATTCATAAAGTAATAAAAAAAAAAATTCTTTTATTTGTGGAAGATGTTCAATTATAAATTTGATTAGTAAGAATTGATCTTGTCCTATTTATGAAGGATTAAATGGACATAAATCCCAGTATGCTTTCTTGTGATTTACGCTGTTGTATATGTTGTGTTGTTGCACAACCTGGAAGGCCCCTTTGAGTGTCGTACATTTTTTACACTACTTCCCTGAATATGCTGTTTAGATGAAATGATTAACAAAACAAAATAAAAAAACCTTCTAGGCTGTCCACTTAGGATCCTTAAGCGCATCATAGAAAGAAAGAAAAAAAAAAACAGAACAGAAAAAGAGATTTTTGAATATGGCGTAATTTACGACTGGCATATTACATTTTTAGATAGACTGCTAATCGATTTTGTTTTGCATGCGTTTTTTTATCTAGAGGCTAAGAAGCAGCGGAAGAAGAAGTCATTAACAGGTGAATAAAGTAAACTATCATAAATCATTATTGTTCCATCATTTTTCGGTGTTCGACATTTTTTACTTGTACATGAAAACAAGCACGCGCGCGAGTTTCATTTCTTTTCTTCTTTTTTCTTATGCTGTTTTATTATTTTTACACAGAGTATATACACACGTATCACGAGAAATCAAAAAATCGGAGATTACTCTTGTTTTTTATTTTGATCCTTTGTATCACTCTGTCTGTTTCATTCACGCCTATGTAGTACAGCCTATGTAGTATGTCAGAAGAACAATCTTGTGTTCATCAAGTTAATTTATATTTTGTTTTTTTTTTCGTTTCTGTCTGTACCTCTCTTCTATTTTTGGTACGTTAGTTCTCGTACGAATTAAATGGGAAGATTTGTTGAGAAAATGTGAAAGAAAGCCTCTCATCTGTGCTTCTCTGTACCTTCTTCTATTTAAGTCTTTGAATATCTTAGACAGCAGTGGTTTATGCGTATTCAAATAACAAGAATCTTAGCAGCTATCGAAAGTTCTGTATTCAGCTTATAATATTTTCTGCATTCTCTTAGCCCAACCCTTTTTTTATTATATACCCATGATTCTTTACTTATCTATGTCTCTTGATACATATTTATATATAACTGTTATGCTTTTTGATTAATTCTTGATTACCCTTCTGGCTTTTTTCCAGCTTTATTGCACCTTCTTACATTTCTTTTTCCCTTTTTTCAATGCATATTGATTGCTAACATATTTTAGTCACCAGTATCATATTATGAATTGAAATGTTTAGAAACACCAATGTAGCTGTAAATGTGATATGTAGAAGCTCGATTCCTCTAATTATTTGCTTTGTAAAAATGGTGAATCGAAGAGCTATATGTTTCTTGCTTTGTAAAAATAGAAATTAGATCAAGAAATGGGAATCGAGTTTCATGTAATGTTAATGAAAGAATTTAATGGAGTTTGTATATTGCGAATGAAGGAGATGAAGCTGGAGAAATAACTGGAAACAGCCATGTGAGCAGTGGCAAGCACGAGGGTGGGGAGAACCATCACGCAGCCAGCCATAGTAGCGGTGCAGAAGGAAAGAAAGAGAAGAGTGTTCTTCAAGCCAAGCTAACTAAACTTGCCATACAAATCGGTTACGCCGGCTCGACTATAGCAGTGCTTACCGTTGTCATTCTAGTCATTCAGTTCTGTGTAACGACGTTCGTTATACAAGGGAAACCTTGGAAGAATACGTACGCTGGTGATCTGGTGCGGCATTTGATCATTGGTGTAACAGTACTTGTTGTCGCCGTTCCCGAAGGTCTTCCTCTGGCTGTTACCTTGTCTCTCGCTTATTCCGTTAAGGTGATTATAACCTCAAACTATGATGAAAATCATTTTTAGAAGCGTTAAACATTTTAACCAATTGGCGGTTAGGTTAACCTCTTGATTTATAATTTCTTTTATATTGTAATGCGAGGTCTTAGAAAGTGGAAGGGTAATATTGTGTCACATTAGAAATGTGACTGAATCCTATGAGACAATGAGTTGGAAATATTAAAAACAAAAAAAGGTGTTGTACATTATTAAATGGATTCTCTTCCGTGTGTATATAGAAAATGATGAAAGACAACAACTTGGTGCGTCACTTGGATGCCTGTGAGACTATGGGTAACGCCACGGCAATATGTTCCGACAAGACTGGCACTCTAACTACCAACCGGATGACCGTCGTTCAGTCGTACATATGCGAGAAGATGAGCAAAACAATCCCACAGTTCTCGGAGATACCCAGCCACGTTGGAAACTTATTACTTCAAGCTATTTCTATTAATTCGGCGTACACATCCAGAACAATGCCCTCGCAGGACCCTACAGAGTTGCCGCTGCAAGTCGGCAATAAAACCGAATGTGCCTTACTTGGATTCGTAGTAGCCCTGGGCATGAATTATCAGACGATACGAGACGATCAACCAGAAGAAACTTTCACGCGGGTGTACACGTTCAATAGCGTTAGGAAGAGCATGTCCACTGTCATACCGAGGAAAGATGGTGGATATAGGCTCTTCACCAAGGGCGCTTCCGAGATCATCATGAAGAAGTATGTTTCATAACCCCTAACTAACAATCTTTACGGCTATATACAGGGTGTTTTAATAGGTTGGTGCTAAATTGATACAGAATATTGATTGGATATGAACCCATGCCAAAAAATGACTTATTAAGGAATTATAAGGAATAAAAGAATCGTTATCCATTAAGTAAAGTTAAAGATAAACAAATGGCTGTCGTCATTGTCAGTTATTATTCTTCCGACTTTACGAAGCTTTAAGTTCTAACAGTTGTTCAAAAGTTTCTCCTTTTGTAACTATACTAATTTTACTACTATACTAATTTTACTTAATGGACAATGATTCTTTTATTTTTTATAATTTGGTAATAAATGGTTTTCAGACATGAGTTCATATGAACTTTTTTCATCTATTTTACCTCATTAATACTTTATCATTTTGGCACCAACCTATGAAACATATTTTAATATGTACTGTGCAGAACTGGAAAGAAGTCTTGTAGAAGGAATTCGGGTTTGATTGGGTCATATCTCCATAAGCCTACCTTCTCTAACATAATCGTAGAAATGGGGCACATGTATCATCATTATTGGCCCACGCGATAACATCGACGAATCGGAACATATAAAATTACGTGACGCGAGAGTTCGGCGATACGGGTGAAGTACCCCTCTTGCCCTGTGCCGCTCCGCTGGACTTCTTTCTATCTCTGCCCAGTGTATACATTGTGACACCATCTCTGTCCACTTCAAATATCTCCATTATATCAAGAAATAAGTGAAAACATTAGTTACAAAAGTTGTATAGTTGTAAGGAAGACAACATGGTAGCAATAGTTTTTTTGCAGGTGAAGGCGCAGAGGAGTTTGGAAATCAATTTTTTAAAATGGAATTTCCAACTTTTTTTGGTTGAATTCGATAGAATAGCGAATTTTGAGTATAAAAATAGTAAGGTATATTTATCCTAAAATTCATCAGACAGAGTAGTGGATAGAGTTGGTGTGATACCCTGTATAATATAAATGTAAATTATAAATATATATATATATTTTTAGTTAAATTGTATTTTTTTCATATTTTCAGATGTGCCTTTATATACGGTCATGAAGGTCGTTTGGAGAAATTTACCAGAGATATGCAAGAGCGTCTGGTGGAGAACGTGATAGAGCCGATGGCGTGCGACGGTCTCCGTACCATCTCCATCGCTTACCGCGACTTCGTTCTGGGTAAGGCGGAGATCAACCAGGTTCACATCGACAACGAGCCGACCTGGGACGACGAGGAAAATATTGTGAACAATCTGACCTGTCTGGGTATCGTCGGTATCGAGGATCCTGTGCGTCCTGAGGTGCCGGACGCAATTAGAAAGTGTCAAAAGGCTGGGATCACTGTGCGTATGGTGACTGGAGACAATATAAACACAGCGCGTTCCATAGCTCTGAAATGTGGCATCCTGAAGCCAAACGAGGACTTCCTGGTTTTGGAGGGAAAAGATTTCAACAGAAAGATCAGGGACAACAACGGAGAAGTACAGCAACATCTGTTGGACAAAGTGTGGCCGAAATTAAGGGTGTTAGCCAGATCGTCACCAACAGACAAATATACGTTGGTGAAAGGCATAATTGATAGCAAAGCGACTGTGAGTCGCGAGGTTGTTGCCGTGACTGGTGACGGTACGAACGATGGCCCGGCCTTGAAGAAGGCCGACGTCGGCTTCGCCATGGGCATAGCCGGCACAGACGTCGCAAAAGAAGCCTCCGATATCATATTAACGGACGATAATTTCTCGTCGATCGTGAAGGCGGTTATGTGGGGTAGAAACGTCTACGATAGTATAGCGAAGTTCTTGCAGTTTCAGCTGACCGTCAATATCGTCGCTGTTATAGTTGCTTTTATCGGGGCATGTGCCGTGCAAGATTCGCCTCTTAAAGCGGTGCAGATGTTGTGGGTGAACTTAATCATGGACACGTTAGCGTCGCTCGCATTGGCCACCGAATTGCCTACACATGATCTTCTTCTACGTAGACCGTACGGTCGCACGAAACCGCTCATCTCCAGGACAATGATGAAGAACATTCTCGGTCAAGCTGTCTATCAGTTGACTGTAATTTTTATGCTTCTTTTCGTTGGTAATTATATACACGCTATTTAATTCTGACACTGTCGATACGTAGGCTGTTCTCTCTTATTAATCTATTCCTTATGGAGAAATTAGTCGAAATTGCATATGAGGCACCGTTCTCGAGTCAATTAAATTTTTAATTGATTCACACCATCAGCAAATTTTTTCTTTTAAATTTCGACATATTTTTCGCAAGAAATCTGATTGTTGGAACACCCTGTGTATAATATATTCCTTCGAAGTCATCTTTGGATCCAAAAGAAAGAAACATAGTGTGGTTAAATAACGTGAAGGATGTACGTGAATTAGATGAGAATATTGTTTTGTGGACTGATTAAAAGTTGTATCTGTAGGTTATGTTGTTACTATAATTTACAATAATTTGAAAGAGTATTCTGATGTGTGATACATATATAAAATAGTGAAAGTGACGTTTCTATTTGGATCTCGAGATGACTGAAACAGTTGAAGATAGCTTCTTCTAATGATGAAACGATTGATCGATAGGCGATAAGATGCTCGACATCGAAACAGGCCGAGGAGTCGCACAGGCTGGCGGCGGTCCAACGCAACACTTCACCGTCATCTTCAACACGTTCGTCATGATGACTCTTTTCAACGAATTTAACGCCAGGAAAATCCATGGTCAGCGTAATGTCTTCCAAGGAATATTCACCAACCCCATCTTTTATTCTATCTGGGTCATGACATGTCTATCGCAGGTAAATTCCCTTAATTTAATTTAAATAATTTTATTCGTTCAATGTGAACATTATCGTGACATATTTGAAATTTGGAGTAAAAGTACTTGATACAATAGAATATCAGATAGCAAAATATTTTCCAAAACACAAAGTGAACAGTTATCTTTTCTATGAATAGTTATCTTTTGAATGACAATCTTATTCTATAAATATTGTTATCAAACCCGGAGACAAACTTATTCCATAAATATTGTTATCAAACCCAGAGACACACTTTCGTTTCGTTTCTGTTAATTAATCATATGATAGGTTAACAAAAGGTCCCAAGTGTTGCAGCCAAGCAGATACATCTACAATGGGTCCCTTTACACATTGGTGACACAGTACCCACAATTTTCCAGTGCTCCATTAATAATATTGTGTGTCTGTTTTCTAGGTAGTTATCATACAATACGGTAAAATGGCGTTCAGCACGAAAGCTCTCACATTAGAACAGTGGATGTGGTGCCTGTTCTTCGGAGTCGGTACTCTATTGTGGGGCCAAGTAATTACGACTATTCCTACGCGCAAGATTCCTAAAATCCTTTCGTAAGTGATATATAAAACATTCATGTATAAGAAAACTACAATTTTTTTAGTGTCTGGATGATGAGAGATACTTCTGTTCGCGGTCTAGCGGGCGCAGCCTTTTTTTTTGGCGACTTGACCTCAAAACGAGAAAAGTATATGGTTTCGCCCGTATTGCGTTCTCGTTGAACGGAAAATATTTTTTTTTTTGTTTCTTTTCTATCTTTTTTTTTTTTAATATACTTACCGTATACAGTAATGTCTCCACAAGTGTCAGTCCGCAAGGAACCTAAACCTGACACTTGTAGAGTGCGGGACTACGTTTTCGAGCCTCGCGCCCGCCTTTGTAGTTTGCCGAACGTAGACAAGGACAGCGAATAAAAGATAAGGATGAAACGTGAGTCGAGGCAACCAAGCGATTTAAATACCAACTTTTTTAATTTTACGTTTTTTTATCCCGAAATTTTTCTTAACATATTGATGAGATTTTCCTGATGAAAATGATATCAAACACGATATAATTTGAACAGCATTTACTTATTAACACGTTCACTGTCTGGCGTGATAGTGAATAAGTAAATGTTGTTCAAATTATATCGTGTTTGATATCATTTTCATCAGAAAAATCTCACCAACATGTTAAAAAAAATTTCAGATGAAAAAAAGTAAAATTAAAGAAATTATATTTTTCTCTTATGAATTGTCGAGCCGTGAAATCTCGTAAAAGAAACCGAGTGGTGTAGCGTTACACGCTTGACTGACAGCGAGCGAGATAACACAGGCGCAGCAATGACGCAGACCTAGGCGTAGGACCATCTATACTGACACTTGTAGAATCCAAACTGGCTGACACTTGTAGAGACATTACTGTAATTAGTTTCTCTTTTTATCTGGTCTGCAACTCGAAAGGGAGAATGCCAAAAGTCGATTTGTGTGTGTATAAACAGCCACTTTTTAAAGCATCTTGGAGCTATGAACAACTAAACCCAGGCATACATGCACGCATTATTAACTATAGCATTAAAATAAAAAGAAATGATCGAGAGAATGTAAGTTGGGAAAAAGTGTGGATTTTTCTTGCTTTCTTGCATTGTGCGACGCGACAGGAACGCGTTTGCACCAGGGGCACTTTAAAATTAAATTAAAATGGAAGAAGAGGCTGACCTCTTGTTTCCAAGCTTTGAGAATGCGTCTTATGAAATAAGCTCTGATATGATGCGTAATCTTGTCAGCGAATTAATCACGTTTTTGGAAATTAAAAAACAAAAAAGACGCACGATTTTAATTTCTTACATTTTGGTTCTAATAGGTGGTAATATGAATAGCTTCTATGAGTTTTTATTGAGACCCTCCTGATATATGATAGTCGCCTTTGCATGAACTTCTTTATCTCAATCGAAGTTTGGAAGATTTGATAATTGAGTAATATTACTCTGTATTAATTTATTTTACAAGTAACGAATTTATTAATTATCTTTTGATGATGGTTGGTAATTGTATAAGGAAGCATTGTATAAATAGTATATATAATTCTTAATATTAATATTGACTTAATTCTTAATATTAGCAATTTTTATATTGAAACAGAATCTATGTATAATTAGACTGTCCAACAATTCTCTGTGTTAATATTAAGAATATGGGATGGATATGTTGTGTATGTATATCGTTGGTATAGTGTTTTCTTTTATTCAACTGACATCTATCATTATTTTAATTGCAAATGATAATAACATAAGAAACACGAGCACTAGCTCGTCTCTATAACAGCATCAAAATCACAATCACATAGTACCATTCGAAAGATAAGTATCATTAGTAATCGGTATCGTGTAAAGATGTAATAGAAGGGAAGCATGCATCGTGGAACTCATATATTGATTATTGGTAACTGTATATAATAAACCGTAGCGCTTCCGTTAGTTTATGTTCTTCTCGCTTCTACGAATATACTTTTTCTATTGCTTTTTGCTTGTCACGTGTCTCTCACCTTCACCCACCTAACGTTAGCATTATTGTATTTGCTTTACATAGCATGTGCTCTCTAGACGCCCAAGTATTATCAAAGAAGTCCAATATCTTGAAATGTGACATGGTGACACACTGTAACCTTGAATTGGATACATTATATAGAATGATTACGCGTGCTCAGCTATTCCCTCGCTCCCCCTCTCTTTGTAATTATACAATTAGTGTTGGCCAAATGATAGAATGTTCAAGGCTTCCTTAGATAAGGAAACTTTGATCTTTGTTCAGAGGCAAATAAAATCAGTATCCGAAAAGGAGTTCCGAATAAGACTTGTATTTTAAACGTAAATTATTTTGCAGAGACATAAAATACTTCCAGAGAGATATTAGAGATACTTTAAAGTGAGAATTGTGGAAGAAGTAAATTTTAATGCTGGAAGAGTAGAATTCAAAAGTGTCCAAAGGTAATGAAAACTTATCCAGATATTAATTTTGTTAATGAAAGCTTAAAATGTTCTTCTAGATTAATTTATTTGGATATTGGAGTATGTAGAACTTCAAATTGAGCAACTGAGTATCAATTTCCTCTCTGGAGAGTGAATTGTTGCTTGTTTCTCATTTTGGAATCTAAAAACCCGCGATGGGTAGGCTTAGCCTTTGCATGACTGAAGACCCTTCTCCGACGTCTACGTACTTGTTTGTTGTAAAGAGTAACCAACTAAGAAAAATGGCGTCCCAATGATTATATTGTACATACATATATAATATTTGCGTTTTCTGTTTGGTGCAAGGGATCTCAGTGGCGCGCTTGAACCCAAGTCCAGAGATTATGTATACATTGGACTCTTGGTTCACCAGGCTCTCAAAATGGAGCTTGAACACTCGAGATCTAGTTCTGTTACATATATAATAAGTGGTATTTTTGCGCTTAGCACTTTGTCTTTGTAATCACTCTGCTCTCTCGCTGGAGTTGTTTATTACGACTCTGTTCTTTCAACGACTTTTAACTTGTCTATCTACCTGTCTTTCTTTCTTTCTGTCTGTCTGTCTGTCTGTCTGTCTTTCTTTCTTTCTTTCTTTCTTTCTTTCTAACCTCTCTTCTCTGTCACACTGTATAACCTATTTCTCTGCCCACCCTCTTGTCTATCTGATTATTTCATTCTGTCTCTATCTATTTCTATTTCCGTCCATCATTCGCACGGAGCCAACTTTCTTCTTTTGAAATGGTTTTCTATCTATCTCTCTCTTTTTCTCTCTGCATCTGTTTCTCTCTGTCTGCTTAGGTTGCCTCCCAATTTGCAGGTTTTTTGATTCCCTTGCGAATTGGGCAGGCAATTCTCGCTGCTCTCGCGTCGAGCGCACTAACATTTGACAAAAAGCGATGATTAATCAAACAAATTGAAAAAATAACGGATATGGTTGTATCGATATAGGGTATAATACATGTATTATTATGGGGTGCTTTTGTGTGGTCGTCCTGGTCCGCCATTCACAAAAAACCGCGTGTGTAGGAACATGGAAAGTGACATATTCTATACCTGGAACTCTAACACACGGTTTTTAATCTTCTGCATTTGCTTATTTAAAAAGCTTATTACAAGCCACTTGTCGTAGGACATATAGAGAAGTAGTTGCGGTTTTTTCTTGTGCTTTTACACTTGAGAGAACTGAAGTTACTCCCGTACACACAGGTAAGGGAGATTCAACGAAACGAAAAAGGAACCTGTCCAGAGAAGAAAGGAGAAAGGAATTAAAAAAAAAAAACAAGATCACACACACCTGGTCTTGAATGTTGTAAAAAGAAAGAGATCTCCGTGTCATGCGTGCATCGTTCTCCTGTCCAAACAAAAATGTTCTAACGTCACTTCCTACCCTCCACATCGTCACATTGTGTTTTCATTTCCTTTCTTAATGATTTTTTTTTCCCTCTCCTTTTTGTTTCTTTCCTTAATTTATTCGTCAGTTCTGTTCATCGCTGTCGCCCTTCTCCTGACAAGTACAAAAGTATCTCTATCGTCGTCATGTATACACGTCATAATACTATTGTATTTACACATACACACACATACAGTCGTTCTCCATCAGCCGAAATCGCATTAATCGCATTGCACCTCACATTTCGCATATATCCCCTCGTTCGTTGGCTCATCCCTTTTTACACGTCGCAAACATTTGTTCTTTCTTGTATATGTGTACATTTTACTGGCTGTTGTCACCAATTACATGTTAATTCAAGGAACAGATGCAGCTTACTGGAAGCAAACATTTTAACATAGGAAAAAAACTGATATAAGATACTTTCAAGAAATAGAATTCTTACCGGTTGTATTTGATATTTGGCTTAACGAAGAGTTATGTATCAACAAGTGCTACATAAAATATCGAATTACTATTCATTCGCATATTAATCGATCAAGTGATTACTTAAATGTTGTTGAAAACTCCGAGTTTCTTTGTTTTAATTTAAAGTTTTTATAATTCTTGGTAAAGTACTACTGGGAAATCTAAGAGTAATGTTTGTTTGTTTCGACATTTCATATTACGTGACTAAATAAATAACACGGATTTGAGGAAGATTTTTTTTATTTGCATTAATAAATCATATGAATGTTTGCTTTCAATAAGCCCACTTGATAAGGTATCGAAACATATTGTCCATGATACTGAAGCAGCCAGTAAGGTTATTTGTTAGTCTGTGCTTTCCTTTCTCGGCCACTTCCGACCACCGTTGTGTCACCGTCGGTCGATCCTCTCCGTAAGAAAACAGAAATGTGTTAATTATCCAGCATCGTCGACACAACCGTTTCATTAAAGAGATTGATAGGTTAGGTGTCCAAGCTAAGGAGCGAGGGGGAAAAAATAAAACCGTGTAGAGAACAGTGAGAAAATATCTTTGGTGCAGTGCGTCGAGGAGCCGGCTCTGCGCGTCATCTCAAG